GATATTCAGTTTTAAGGCCGTTACCGATAGGGGGCCGATTATATCGTGCATCCCTAGTTTCTTTACTTGTTACTATAAAAGCTATTTCTCTTAACATCCTTACAAGTTTTCCCTTCCACCTATCCCATTATCTCTTTGCACTGGTTTGGCAGGCAGCCAAAGAAAAAAAAAAGGCAACAAAAGGATTCGGAGCTCCTTCTACAGCTGGATGACAATGACATATCATGGAAATTAGGCAAGAGAGCATCAAGCCAGAAGGAATGCTGACAGCTAGAGTTGGCAATAACCTTAGCAACACCGCTAACAGGGTTCAAAAGTTTAAATAAGATTGGATCCAACTCATCTCTTGGCTTGAGCTTCAGGACAACCTTATGTTTTGTACATATTGAAAAAGACATAATCAGGCAGTTCATTCTGAGTTTGTGACAGAAAAAGACAGCCAATCAAAACACCAATTATTACCCCAGTTTATTTTAATAAAAAAATAATACTAATAACTGGTGCCCCTACATGTTTTCTGTATTCCTATTAAAATATTAAAAAGCCAAGCGTGCTGCCCCCTGTAATGTAATATATAATTGTGAATTTAATTTACTAAGCTGTTAACTATAGATGCTTTTTATTTTGTTTAGCTTTTTTCATTACCCTTCTCTCAACTTGACTTTTTGTCCTGCTTCTATTTTAAATATATAAAAACAAAGCTTCATTCCTTAAAGTAGTTCGTAGTAGTTTAAATTAATCATTAAAGTAGTTTGGCAATTATTATGATTTCAGATCCCCTTGAATAAATTGTACAAACGGGGGATAATGAAAATGCTCCCAACAGAAAACCTGTTTTTAATGCATATATAAATAACTTGTAGATATTTTATATCACTCTCTATATCTAATCCCTAATTAGGGCAGCTGTCACACCCTGAGTCGCACTGTGACATATGAAATATGATAGATAATGACACCTAGCCAAACCTAAAATAACCTCAGCAGCACATTTATGGTAGATAATATGTCTAACTGTAATTTACACTTTTCCTTTGGGTAAACCATGTGCAGGTCTAAAATCATTAAATTAATAATTAAATCATGAATCATTAAATTAATAAAAACTTTGTTCTTTTTTAAGTAGATGTACATATTTTCTTTTATGTGTTTTTGATGTTCTTTTATTGAGAGATTGTGTGAATCTATGAAAGGATCATTTGGGTCACGAGTTGACCCACATAAAATAGTTACTACTGTTTAATTATAAAAGTTTTATGACAATAACAACAATCCTAAAATCCAAATCTGTGTTTATTTGTGTGGATCTCTACAAGACTAAATGATCTTTGTGTAGTTATTATCTGGTTATAGCATTTTTGTTATTGCACCCCAGCCAAAGTAGCAGGTATGCTAACCTGTGTTACACCCAAAACTGTTTAGATATTCAGCATTAGCTGTAGAAGCACGGTGGTAGAGTTGAGTGGAAAAACAAAAAAACAAAACAATTTTACATAAATAGATGTCTGGCAGCCCCACAAACACACTTGTAGTCTCTATTCAAAGCTAACTCTCAACCGGGAAGCTACATGCTGAGCTAGCTTTAGCATTAGCTTCTGGGCTGCTACTGACCGACATTAAGTAATTATGTGTTTAAAGTTAACCCGTTTGCTGGCGGAACACGCAACCTTTCCTCTGCTCTTACCTGTCAGTCTGCAGCATGGTGATTTATACATGTCGAAGGAACATAGAACTGGCTTCTGGAACGACCCTTTTACAGGCAGCGGGCAGCCATCTTGACCTCCTTGCGTAAATAGAAGCACTTCCGGTATACACAGTAGTGACGACTTCCGGAATGCGATGGCAAGAAAACAAAAGACAAAACCCAGCTCAGCACAACAATTAACCTAAAAGAGAAGTCGCTAGAGTTTAGTACGGAAGAGGATTAAGGCCACTGAAAAAAAAAAAAACAAAGTTAACTGA